GGTGGCTTACATCATTCCTGCTCATATCCTGTTTCAAAACTCAGTCGCTTTACCTCAGTTTAATTGCAAGGGAGGCAGGGAAATGCAGAGGAGCTTTCAGTAGTCTCTGCTACACCTACCAAAATTGGTTTATTTAAATAGTCATTTGAATCTAGGTATCATATCCAGGTAAGTGATGGTTTGAAAATACTTGGTACAGGGACACTTGGGTGTCCCAGTCGGTTGAGCATCAGGCTCTTGATTTCAGCTCAGGTCATGATCTCGGTGTTCTGGGATCAAGCCCTGCTTGGGCTCCTCACTCAGTGGGGAGTATGCATGTCCCTCTTCCTCCGCCTCTGCTGCTCCTTTTCTCTCTCTCTCTCTCAAATAATAAATACAATCTTTAAAAAAAGGAAAATATTAGGTACAAATTAAAGAGTGTTTCATACGTGTAGGTCTAGTTTCCTTATATATATTACTTTATTTGAAAATTTAAGAAAAAAGCAACACATGCTTATGGTAAAATATTCAAACAGTAAAGAAAGATATAATATTAAAAGTAAATGATTCTCTTCCCTTTATTCTGATATCCATTTACCACATCCATTCGTGACCAGTTAGGTTTCTCTCTCTCTCTCAAAATGTTTTATACATACATTAGTGCTTATCTATGTAGATCCTTTTTATTTTTTAAAAATGGGATGATTTTATTTATATGCTATTGTGTACATTTCTTTTTAAGTTAATAATCTATCAAAGAGCTAATTCTCTATAAATACATATAAATTTAGAGTGATAATCAAAATATTTAACAACCATTATAACATGGGCACTGACCAATCAGAATGGATGCTGGATGTGAAATGGGAGAAAGGTCCTGGAGGCTCAGGTGTGCTAGCAATTACTTTAATTAGGGCATGATGGTGAATAAGTTGGGGGCAAGGGTTAGTACCCAAAGAAGGGGCTAGGGGTGGTGGAGGGAGAGGAACATGGAGGATATGCTCAGTTTCAATTGTTTGCAAGTAGTATGAATATCTTTCAGTATTTTAAGTATCAGCAAAGCCATACTGGTGCACTAGGGTTGTATCAGTCCATGGAATCCATCAATATAATGACAATATCTGCATTTAGTGATCTTAACTGCATATCTACTTCATTCCAATAGATTTATTGCTTATTTTTTCACCTTAATATCTTCTGCATATTTATACTCTAGCTTTTCTCAATGATGTAATTTTTCATTTATGCTGCTCCTTTGTGAGACTCCTGAGTCCTTCAATGGAAGGAGTGTATTCCACTTTTGTTTTTGGTCTGGTAACTAACATAGTACCTGATACAGAATAAACATTCAAATGTTGAGTCAGTAATCTTGAACTTCAGGTTCAAAACTGGTCCGGGTAATTCCCTTGAATGTTAGATCAATGGAAAGCAAAGAACAAGATAGAGAAGCAGACATGAGTAGAATGGCATAGATACAGGGCCTGAAAGACACCTGGATACCTAAGAGACTCCTGTGGAGGGAGGCCCAGTAGATAGTTTGGCTTCCTAATCAGGATAGATGCAGGGAATGCCTAACTGATACATCACTGAAATAGCAAGAGAGTTACCCATCCGGTTTTTCATCCTTTGAATATATAGGCAGGGAGACTATATTTGATTCCTATTGGCTGGCTAGTGAAGCAAGATTTCCTTTTATTATCGATCCTGGAACAAACAGAGATAATCAACAGTTAACTAGATATGGGACCGGGATTCTGACAGGTGGGATCATACTAAAATCTGCCTTAATCAATATCCCAGGAGAATATTAAACCTGAAAGTTGAGTTGGATAAAATATTTTATAATAAATAAATAGAGAATAATATAATTCATAATGAATTTATTAATTGGCTGAAATTAACATGTGCCACTAATTGCAGCAATAATAAAAATATCTGCAGAAATAGCTAATGATTATTAAAGATTTATTAGGTGCCAAGAATGTGATTACTGCTTTACAGAGATTGTCTCACTTAATCCCCACAGCAGCCTATTAATCAGGTGTGATTTTGGTTGTATTTTACAGATAGAAAAATGCATCCTAAAAAGTTTGTTAAATAGCTTGTCTAAATTCACATGCTAGTATGTGGTGGAACTCAATCCCTAGGGAAAGCCAGGATTTTTTTTTTTTTTTTTTCCAATCCTGACTTTTATTTCACATGGGGAACTTTAAAATAAATACCAACATCAGAGCCTTACCCTGGGAAATTATTACTTAATTGGTCTGGGGTGGGATCCACTGATACTGGTATTTTCTAAAAAGCTGCCTGATGATTTCAACGGGTAGGCAGAGTAAAGAACTACTGACCTATCAAAGCGTATTATTGAGAGTTTAGCTTTGCCCTCCAGTTGTACCTTGTCAATACAGAGAAATGATAATGGTATGTAGCTTGAACGAATAGTTTTAAAATTTATTTTACTCCCTCTGTTCTCTATGCACAGTCCTTATTTATGTATCCTGCATTTGCCTCACTGATCCTGCCTGCCCATTTATTTGCTTTTGTTTCCTGGAACATTTCAGTATACATACAGGGTGATGCAAAGGGTCTTACATTTTGCCTCTGCAAGTGCATTTATGTTTAGATAGGATTGCTGTTTCTAGGCCTTCACTGCTCTTAAAAATCTTCCTTTAAATAGTTGTTCAGGTATTATTATGTTTTCCTGTATTTTCAGCTATACCAAAGAGGCTGTAGCTGATTTGGTTTTATTAAGCTTGGTTGATTAGATTTTATTAAATGTCTCATTGTTTTAGTTTTATATAATGATTGGTTTAATAGTGCTTGTAAAAATTGCTGTGAATAATAAGTTTATGGTTCTAGATTTTTCCATGTAGTCAAAAAATTATATAAGACTGGATTCAGATTCACCTTGCTACATTTTCTGGCATAATAGTTTACCCTCCCTCCATTTCCAACCCAAGAAACATTATTAAAGTGAATTTTCATCACAATGATAGTAAAATGGATAAAAGGCATAAACATACATTTCAGAAAAGATGAAGTAAAAAAAGAAAAAAAGAAACACAAAAACTAAACCTAATCAATTTAAGAAATGTCAATATTGTAGTTTTTATATGAATTAGCAACAATTTTCCCTAAGACTTTTTACCTTTTTACCTTTTTACCTTATAGATATAATATAATTTACATGTTTATCATTTTTATCGTCCATGGTGTCCTCATGCTAGAATGCAATCTCCACAAGGAAGGGCATTTTGTCTATTTTGTTCAAAGACGTAAGAGCTAAAACCAGTGCCTGTCATGAAGTAGACGCTCAATGATAAGTATTAGTCAAAGAAATAGTTTACTGAATGTATTATTTTATTTCAGTTATTTTTTTTTTGTTTCAAGTTTTTATTTAAATTCTAGTTAGTTAACATATAGCATAATATTGGTTTCAGGAGCAGAATTTAGTGATTCATCACTTACATACAGCACCCAGTGCTTATTATAACATGTGCCCTCCTTAATACCCATTACCCATTTAGCCCATCCCTGAATGTATTATTTTAAATGTAAGTGTGTGTCTGTATGTATGGATAGCATTAACAAAGTTGTGGTGAATTGCACACAGTATTATATGACAGGCAGTATATAAATTCCTATAACATTTCTGAAGAGCAATCTGTGAAGAGGAATCATGTTTTTTGTTAAGTATTTTATTCAAATTATTTATACTTTTAGAATTGTGCTTTAAGAATATAATCAGTGAAGGGCAGATTTATAGACAGAAAAGTCTGTTCATAGCATTGATAATCATAAGGAAAACAAAGATAACTGAATGTTAAATAAAATATGGCATTTATTCTTTCAAAATAGACTAAATAGAGTGAAAATACAGCGGTACAATGTTAAACGAAAAATGGAGGGTGGATAATAGAATATGGTCTCAATTTTTTGAGAGACATATTATTACATCAAAGTGCTAATAGTAATTATTAATATCTCTGTGGTGAAAATAAGATTTTTTAAATTTTTTTCTTTGTAGTATATGGAATGCATGATATTTCTATATGAATATGTGTTACTTTGTTAATCAGAAAAATACTTCATTCATAAAAATTGGTTTTATCATTTTCTGACTCTAATATAACCTCCACAGGGGCAAGACTTTTTATCTGCTTTGTTCATTGGTGGATTCTCCATGCCTAGAATAATGTTTGGGATAAAGTAGCACTTATAAATATTTTTGAATGAATGAGTACACAAACAAATGATATACCTCCCTCTCTAAAGGCAATTCCAAAGCATTAAGAATAAGTTGATTGATTACTTCCTTCTTTTGTAGAGTTGAGCAATTAATCCATCCATTATTAAGCGTTAATTAAGTGCCTGTTTATAGCATATTTTCCTTCCACTGCTACTTTCTCATGGACTAAAAATGATCTTTGATCTCCAGTTACAATTGCTTGGCAGATGTGGATCCTACTGTATGTGAGATTTAAAATAATTATGACAAATATTTTACCTTTAGTAAGTGCCTTTAAATTAGCCCTGTGTTTTCAGGTTTAAGAAGAAAACTATAATTAATCCAATAATTTATGTTATTATTCTGTTTCCCAGTGACAGTGTTTTTGGTTCACCATTTATAGAAGACAAAAGGGGTATAAGAATAATCACAGATTTTGCTGACATTACTGTTGGGGATGGAAACTTATTGAAAAAGGACAATTGACCAATAATATAAGACAATACCATATTGTACTTCATTGTAATTTAATAGGGGATGTTTTTAAATAATTTTTCCATGTTGCATGCAGTTTAGACTTATGCATAAAGATATGTGCCTTATTTAACATTTTATCTTTTTTGCATGCTTTCTCAAAACTAGAATAGGAAATGAAGGACTTAAGGTAACTCCTGAGGGAATATAATAGTAATATTTATGTTGTAATTTAATATTAAATAAGATGGTATCAATGTGTAGTGTACAGTGATATGGCTATTTTACACATAGCTCTTGCTTTTTCTTTTTCCCCTAGGATTCAGAATTTCCCACAGATATGCAACCAAATCCAAACCTGTATTTATGTAAAGAAAATATTGGTCCAGCAAAATTTGACTACAAGCTGAATAACATTTTTAGACTTCATGAGCTTCCAGTGAGCTGGTAGGATTCTTGATGTTTTATTAATGCCTTTGGGATTTTATTGTCATGTCTAAATTGTGTTGCTCTTATAGTCATTCATGGTCAAAGTGGTTTGCTCTTAGCCTGTTTCCAAATTGCTACTCATAACAGCAAAAGAATCTGCTTATAGCTGCTGCAAGAATCTTAAAACTAATTGGTTTAGGCACTTGGTGGCAGTGCAGACTAAGTGCACTATTGTGTGTATTTATTGTAGAGGTTGTGTGTGTAGGCTTGAAGCACAGATCATCGTTTCTAGAGAGGTTTGTAGGATTTCTTTTAAAGATGGGATCTCAGCAACTATGCATTTCATTTGATTATTTTACTTACAGTTTTACCAATTAATGTTTTGTCCTCATTAACAAATCATTTATTTGGTTTTTGAAGACTATAGTTTTGTGAACCATAATCACATCAGTTTAAAGACAAATCTTATTACTTGGTATTTATTAAAATGCATTATTTTATGAATCTGCATATTTATATATATATGGGAAACTTATTTTGAGTCTTATAAAATTTTTACTCATATTCAGTTTTCAAGAAAAATATTAATGTGGATAATCTGTATATATATATTCTATCATATAGTTCTGTGGTATATTAAAATTTTAGGAGTAGCTTTTATATATGATCGTGGATATATCATTTTAATTATGGTTTAGGTAAGTAATATTATTTTCTTACATTTGTTCATATATTCCCAAGTTTATGTCATCAATCTTCAAGAAATTTTAGATTTGTAAAAAATATGTGGCAAACATAATGTAATTGCTCCTATTGTATTTAATGAGGACAAATGTCTCAGAATAAAATGTTAACCAACTCTAATAACTTACATACAGTGACCTGTGGTGAGTATTTTTTTTTTTCTTTTGCAAACTTTTCTCTGCTCCCAATGACTGGATGTGTTATTTATTTTCTAAATCCTATGTGTTTGATTATTTCCATGTAGCAAGAATATTTATTGTCTGTGGTATCTTACAAGTACAGCAGATATGATCTTATCTGCCCTGATGAAAACCAGTAAGTTAATGAATTGAAAGGGTCTGTTAGTAAAGGAAGCCATAAAAATGACACATTCATACCTTAAGTATTCTACTTGGACTTAAAACAATGCATTTACATTCCCATGCCAGTCTTTTGATGTAAGGCCATGGCTTTTTCTTTGATTAAGTGACTGTTGATTGGAATTCTACACCGTATTTCTTGCATAAGCTATACAAATAATGTATCGCTTACAGTTTCAATTTTGTGATTTCCTTAATCTGGAACAAGAACTTGAGACACCCGGAAGAAGATCCTCTTACCTTTCCATAGCATTAATTTAATTTTCATTGAGAGCAGCTCTCCTTATCACACTCATATTTCATCACCTTGATTAATCTTTAATTACATTACAATAGCAAGCCCAACTGGCTTATAAGGAGGGTTAGTAACAAACTCCTTGGAACTCTGTGTAATCATGGACCTTAGCTGGTGGGCGTAGCCTGTGCTGGTCTACGGGGGCATGGTCTGAGAGCTCTGAGCAATCAAGGTGCAATGAGCACAACTAGTGTGTTTTACAGAGAAAATAACAAATGCTGGTCAAGCCAACAATTAAGTTGAGGTTAAGGGAAAAACTTCTATTAAATGAAAATGAAGAGAAGATAAGGAGGGAAATATTTAACTTTTAGTAAAAGACAAAATCTGGATTTCAGCTTCATTTCCAGCCTTTGGAAAGACAGCTGCCCTGGTAACTACTACTACTACTACTACCAGGGAATAATTTTTCTGTCACAATTTTCACTAGTTAGCCCATTAGGAGAGAAGACTAACATTATAAGTTAGGCAGTAAAAAAAAAAAAAATCAATCACTAGTAGAAAGAATAATCACTAATCTTCTAGAGTAACATACCTCAAAGGAGGAATAAGCTATGACTTTGGGACAACTCATTTACCTGAGCCTTTTCTTGCCTGTCTTCTTCATTTCCAGTTTGTCTCAGTTGCTACTTCCTTATACCACTGTTTCTTCATTGTCACATGCTTGCTTCTCTCCCCACTATTTTATTCTACTTCTTTCTCTATACTGTCATTCTATGCTACCAACCATTAACTAGCCATAATATAAAATTCAGTTATAAATTTTCAGTGTTGCTCAAATAATTTTGTATTCTCTATTAATTTTAAAACCAAATCACTCACTCCCGGACCCCACATACACACACAGAAGGGTTTGGTACTTTATGGTTCTGTAATAAAATGTTTATTGACTTCTTGATATGTTTCTTTAAGGAATAAAGAAAAGGCTTTTGTTTTATAAGTAACTATTTTTGTTTGTCAGTTACCATCAACAGAAATTAAGTTCTTCCTCTGTGGTGTATAGATTTCTTAATCAAAATAATAATAATAATAATAATAATAATAAGCATCTATAAATGCTAGAATTCAGCTGGTTTATACATGCTATATTTAACCTTTGTATTTCTATAGGGCATTTATTATTTTCCCACTTCTCTCGCTCTCTCTCTCTCACACACGCACACACACACACACACACACAAACAAATGAAGCTCAGAGATTTTGAGAGTCACGGAGAAAGAATTTGTATCAGGTCTGGTTAACTCAAAAGCAAACCCCTAAACAGTGAATAAGCCATGTAATTATTTTAAAGAAAAATACTGAGGAAATAGTGTCTATTTTTACAATCAGGCATACAAGTTTGCCAGTAACATACAACTATATAATGTATGAGTTTGGCCAATATCCTTTTTTCCCTTGATAATTGCTTTAAACTTAGATATTAAAATAATTAATTAGATTGTATTTATATACAGAATTTGTTAATTATATGTTTTTTCCTTGGAAAAACAGCTATATTAAAATGTATTTTTACTGTTTTTCTAACAAGGTCAAAATAAAATAAATGCATATTAAATTCCAGATAATTTAAAAATTCTTAATGTTGTACTAATTTGCATTTTTATAGAGTGCAATTTCATAGGTCGAAGAACCAGAAGGATTTTTTTTTTTTTTTAAAGATTTTATTTATTTATTTGACAGAGACAGCGAGAACAGGAACACAAGCAGGGGGAGTGGGAGAGGGAGAAGCAGGCTTCCCGCTGAGCAGGGAGCCCGATGTGGGACTCGATCCCAGGACTCTGGGATCATGACCTGAGCCGAAGGCAGCCGCTTAACAACTGAGCCACCCAGGCGCCCAGAAGGATTTTAAATCAGATTAGTTAAGAGAATTTTTAAGTTCTGATTTAGGTAGAAGTCTTTTTCCTACTTTCACAGGATGGTTCCTTTCAGCATAGAAAATGTCCTTCAGTAACTCCTGTTAGTTAAAAATACTTTTTTTTTTCTTGGCCAGACAAGCCCCCACCACACCTATGCTGTTCCCTTAGAAGCTGCTCTGCTCATTTTACCGAAAAGGTTGGCAGCAGTGCAGATGGCACTAACATCCTCTACTTGTTCTTTCTGTTCTCCCCTCCAGTGGAGTTTCCTTTCTTTCCTCTGCCCTGAAGCTAGTTTTATCAGTCATTTGCTCTTTCAGTGCCTACCACCAGTCCCACTTAACTGTTCTTGTTTTCTTTACCTCTCAGGTTCAGTCAGTACAACCTACCACACCTGCTTTTCCTCTCCTGACTCCCATTATTTGTATAGTCCTGGTTTTCCTGCTGACTCCCAAGCTGTCCTGCTCAGCATCTTCAGGGGGAGGTTCCTTTCTGCCAGACTTCTGGTTGATTGATTCAGCCTCCCTCCACTCCTTCCTGGCTCAGCCCTACAGCTTCTTCTTCTCACTGCTACACTTCCCCAGGTGGCCTCTTCCATCCTCAGGCTGTAAATACTCTCCATATGGTGATAATCCCCATGGTGATCTCTCTACCATTGACTTCTCCCCTGAACTTCGGTATCTAATAAATTTCTCCAAAATGTCATGCCCAGAAAGAATTCTTTTTCTTTTTCTGCCAGAAAACCTGGTCTTCTAATCTTCCTCATTTTTGTAAAAGCAAAATGTGAACTGTGAATTTACTCAAGCTAAAGGCCTAGGAGTCATTGGGATTGCTCATTCTCTCACCCTGCATTTCCCACCATTAAATCTACCATTAAGTCTGATAGGCACTTCCTCCAGAATACATTTATATATTTTATATCTCTCCTATTTCAAAAGCCTACTAATTCACCCTACCTTACCCTATAATAATTCACTCCCTTCACAATAACCAAATAGATCTTTTAAAAATATAAATCAGGCCATAAGATTCCCTGCTTTAAATACAATAATGTCTTCCCCTTATTTTAAAATAAAATCCAAACTTCATCATGTGGCAACCAGGCTCTGCAAGTCGTCTCCTGCCTATCTCTGGCCAGATGCTCCCTCACATTCCCTGCCCAGTACCCTCTGCCACCTCAGTCTTCGCACTATTCTGCAAACATGCCGCATTTACTTCTGCCCCAGGTCTGTGTACTAGTTTCTTCCCTCTACTTGTGTTGTTACACCTCTCATTTTTGCATGTGTGACTTTTTCATCTCTAATATCTCAGCTCAAATATTACCTACCCAGAGAGGCAGTTCTTAAAAAATGTAGCTAATACTTCTCTCTTCATTCCTCTAGTCATGCTCAATCCCATCATTCTACTTTATTTCTATCATGGTTCTCCATAGGCATGCCATGCATCATAAATTTTAAAGTATTTATTTATTTATTTATTTATTTATTTATTTATTTTTTATTCTTATGTTAATCCCCATACATTACATCATTAGTTTTAGATGCAGTGTTCCATGATTCATTGTTGTGCATAACACCCAGTGCTCCATGCAGAATGTGCCCTCCTCAATACCCACCACCAGGCTAACCCATCCTCCCACCCCCCTCCCCTCTAGAACCCTC